CCAGTACCTGGTTCATATTGCCGTATATTCTTCAGTCGAGGAGTTATCTACCAGTACATCCTAAATTATGCGTGCCCAGAGCGAGATTCAATCATCGCTGTCAAAGAAGGTATCACCTTTTGTGCTGTATTTATTTTAAAATATTCTCTGATGCCGTCGTCAACACTGCTGCCTAGTGTATATCCTCAGGTGCCGCGATGCTTCTGGTACTAAGAAGCACACCACGGGTATCTTTTACCAGCGCCTTGCCACTTCAAAGATTCACGGTCGCTGGCACCCGTGGACAACAGCCTAACCACTAGCTTCGGCAATCGATATTGCACATCTTGGCTTGCGTAATGAAGTCTCTAATCTTTTACATTCCTATTTACCATTGATTGCTTCAGATATATACAAAAAAATTATACTTTTTAATATCCAAGGAATCTGCAATGATCATGCTCAATGCATTTCTCTGCTAGCCCCTCAGTCCTCCAAGTCGCTCTCATCATCACTGATGGAATCGGCCAAATCATCTTGGCTTTTTCGCAAGAGCTCTGACAAGTGGGCGCTGTTGTCTTTAAGAAGTTCAATTGCTCGTCGTTCGCAGAGCGATGAGCCTTTTCTTCGCAAAGGCCCAGTAACATCAGGAGTCTCGGAAATTATCTCTTCGGAGTTAACGATCCTCAAAGCTTCATCAATAAATTCGAATCGAGACTTCTTGTTACATCTCGAAAGAAAATTTGGCATTGGATCTATCATTGCAGGAATCTTGGATAAGAAGAACTTCCTCTTCATTGCATCGGTTCGCTTCACACCGCTTGAACTGGCATCCATGTTGGTCGGTTTCATGTTGATGTTATTTGTTGTGGTTATTATGATGGTGTATTTGGTGAATTCAAAAGATATTTGCGATGATGATTTGACAATGAAACTGAATTGTGAGAAATCGATGAACTTTTGTCATTTCTCATGACGTTTGATATTTCCTGTCCCCGGATTCGGTTCGACACGCGAAGAAAAGTTCAACCAGGAATACATTTTAATTAGTACAATCGAAAACCGGCGAAGGGAAAAAAACTCCGAAGAATGAATGAATCACAGTCATCCCGCAGTTTTCAACGTCGGATTCGAAATAATAAAATGGACGTTTTAACTCTGTTGGGACCTTCAACGAATATTTGTACATTCTCCGAGCTATTGACTGCACCGGAGGAGTACCTGGTACGTCCTGACAGTTCCACAGGAAACTTGAAGAATGTCCGAACACCACCGATTGCGTCCCAACACTGATTGCTACTCCGGTGAAGAGTTCGGCAAAAAGACGGATCAATATATCCATCTTGGAACTTCAATCTACTTTCTAAAGAGAGTTGTGGATGGGGAATCTACCTGTACCTGTCTGCACGTTCCAGATAAGCCGGGAAACCCTTTCAAAAATATCTACTATTTCTGCTAGCACCTTACAGTAGGTCTCCCAAGTCGCTCTCATCATCCAATCGACCAAATCGTTTTGACATTTTGGCAAGAGCTATGACGAGTAGGCGCCGTTTTCTGTGAGAACTTCACTCCTTGCAATGGCAAAGTGAAAGTAGGGGTTAGTGGGATCACCCCACTGTCTCATTCGGTATGCGAGAATGCGATCCTCACAATTTCCGTTTCAATTAGGCCAGCAAACAAAATAATGCCATTGAACCAACATTCGAGAAACAAAGAGTCCCTGGAAAATTTGACCAGCTTCAACTGCCATTGACGTCTGAAAAGGTATGGCATCATCTATTCTTGTCAGCTATAGTGATGACTTTTTTGTCTGTACTGGTGACTGGCCTTCTGGTAACCTCATCAAGAGTGCTCCGGCGGTATCCAGTATGCCAAATAGCCACGGTTTTCCTGGTAGGCAACATGTTGCCTTCCGAGCTCAAGCCACTCGTAGATACCATGCGTTTGATCAGAAGGTATGGGAAGGCATCTGTGGGTATCAGCAAGCAGTACCATTGGCGATCAACATAAAGTATCTACTTGTGGTGTATTGAAGATGAATTTCTTTTTCATTGATTGATGTTTTTCTTTAAATCTTGTTATTGCAGTTCAGGCTTTTCATGTCTTGAAAGAATGTACGATACCGCAGGCAGGTCGGTTGAAAAAATGTCTTCAAAATTTCTCTCTCTGCTAGCACCTTAGTCTTCCAAGTCGCTCTCATTGTCAGTCCCATACCCGACCAAGTCGTTTTGACTGTTTCGTATGATATGTAGTCGTTGTTGTCTGTAAGAAGTTCATTTACTCTTCGTTCGGAGAGTGATGAGCCTTTCCTTCGTAGAGGGCCTCTTCGTCCAGCTACTAGTACTACGCTTCGCGATGAAAAGTTTTCGTTTTCAAGAGCCTCGCCAATCAAGTTGCGTCGAGACTTCTTGTTCGAATAATGGTACTCCTTCATATTCATTTCAATGGTGTTCAATGCGATTGGGGCTATTTTCATATCGCTTGAGGTACACATTCTGTTAGTTTGTTGATTTTCTAAAAAATGAGGATTTTAGAATTTCAAATTATGAGTGAGGTACATTCATTTCTCCTTCGCGGCGAATCGCGGGATTACTTCTATATTTTTTCCCACTACGAGTTCGGACAATAGTGAAAGGGATACTTTCAATCGACTGACGGAAGTGACATATAATAAAATAATTTCCGTTTTAACTAACGATGTACGAAAGAATAAAACCCAATGGAAAATATGGGACGAATTTGAATGTTCGTTGAAGTCTGCAATACCAGGTAATATATTTCCAGCCTATGTATGTCTTGCCCATCACGGTGACGTTTCTTTTATCATCGGTACTACTTGTTCCCAGAAGGGAGCTTCAATATTCGTTGAAGAATGCAAAGGGTTAATGTAGCTCCTGTGGCGGTGTCTGTATCAGTGCTCTCTGTCCTCATCGGGAGTGCTAGTTACGCGGTACCTATGCCATATCTACAGTAGCAACAGTGCTCGTGGTAAGCAAGGTCCGAAGGACTTCAA